TGAAAAGTACGGACGTAAAAGGCGACATATAACAAACTTCAAATACTGTCTCCTAGAGAAATATGTACCCATCTAATAACGTAAACAATTACTTACTTTACATTTCCAATTCTGCTTTTAAAATTAAAATTATTTTATTGGAAAATCTGCAGCCTAATTATAACTGCTTTCGTGAAAATTACGATATTTTTTTAATTAACACTTGGTTATTAAAATTGAAAAGAAAACACAAACGAAATTCGAAAAAAAAATCATATTTTTAGTAATTCACGCACACTTTTTAAAAATCTATATATTGTATAACGATATATCACTTTATAAAAGAATATTTTCCAAGTAAAATGCATGTTTAATTCAAATAATTTGTGATGTAAAGTTTCTAATACTCAACGTTTGAATATTAAATAAAGCGGGAGTGATCTCCCCTAAACTTTCTCGAATATTCTTATATAAAACAACAGGGGATGGGAACTAGGGCTATAGACATGATTTTTAATCCATTTTAAATACTTAAAGTTTTAAAAATAGAATAAAATCTCGTAGACAAATTAATTGCACACCAAGTGAACGCCAAGTCAAAAAGCGCATAATAGTGCGCAATATTATTAGTACTTTTAAAATTTTTATTAGTTTTTTGAGAAATCGGAAGTAGCGTAAATTACTACTTCAGGTCAACGGAAATTACTCAAAATTTAACAGAAGGTAGAGAATTAGATCTTTTACTCACATGTGAAATTTCATTTATCTATCTGAAATAGTACTCAAGTTATAGGCTTTTGAAAAATTCAATGTAGGAAAAGTACCACTTCCGGTTATCGGAAATCGCTCAAAAGTTGATACGGATCTACGATTTTGATAAAATACTTATATATGAAATTTCATGTCTATGTCTGTCTGTTTTCATAGTTGGAAGCTGCTTAGCAAAATTTCGAACACGTCAATGTCAAAGCCCGATCACAATGCAATATTCCATCAATATTGACTTAATTTGATGACTAAACTTTTTATAACTAAGTTAATAATTTCTAAAAAAAAAATGTAGGGGCTACTATTTGCGGCACTGTAAAGTACGATTTGACGCATTATTATACGCGCATTATCATTTTTATATGGTGCCTAACAATTTTCAGCCATGCAAATCTATAGTATTAACAAATTATAAAATACTTCCAATGCACAAAAAACGTTTCAATAACAAGCTTTTATGGAATAATGCATCAAAATGGAGACAATAAATGCCTTTCTTTAAATATATAAGAATAAATGCATTTACTTTTAGTTATTTAAATAGTAGTTCAGTATTAATTTTTTTTTAATCATTTATTTTCGATGGAAGCTGCCATTATTGTTGTAAAAAGAAAATGAATCAAGAGACGTCACTATAAGTAAAGTCATTCTTTTGAACTTTTCTCACTAAAGTGGTGTATCAATGAATATATTAATTAATTTATTAACGTCTTTAGATCAATTTGTGATTAACAGTTTGTTAAAAAAAATCGTTATTTTCTACAAAAGTATGTATTTTACAGATCTACGCATAGTGCCGATTCTTTAATTTAACCAAACATACAAACAAACAAACAAAACAAATAAATATACGAACTTGTAAACAAAGTAATGCATGAAAGGTTAGGGGTGGAGATCATTAAAAAATGCCATATTTTGTCTGTTGACGAAAGCATATCCCTTAACATGTAAGCTATTAATTTTTCTTGGTGTAACGGTGATAAAAAATCACATATTTCGACAGTTTTCACCGATTTACACATCAGTCCTTCATCACATCCGCAGGATAGAGGACTATACCGTTTGTATAAATATGTTATTCTGTTGTCGTGAAGGTTCTGTTGTGGCTGATCATACCATCTGTAGTAGCTTTGTAGCAGCACCATAGTATCCTCTCCGGTTAGAGTACCTGCACGTCAAATCGAGAGATTGGGGTTGCGCATGCGCAGAGGCGTAGCGATGGGGGGGGGGGGGCAGGGGGGTACATATGTCCTTGAGCGCCGGCCTTAGGGGGCGCCAAAATGGGTTGTAAAAACAAATTAAAATGTCATTTAGCTGCATTTTTGCATTTTTTGAGCGGGGGGGGGGGGTGCGAGTCGAAAATTTGCTCCCGAGGGGGGTGCCAAATTGAAAGTTTGTCCTCGGGCGCCGGGAAGGGTCGCTACGCCTCTGTGCATGGGTCATTATCCATCCTTTTGTTACCTACTGACATCCAGGCTATAAGTGGCTGTAACAACCGTTTAACATAATTTGACACAAACTTACCAATGAAGGGTCATCCGGAACATTATATTTACATAAGAATATTCGTGAAGCTTTAGTTCAGGTGACTGCTGTTTAATGTACATAAACAAATGTATAGGGTAGTTGTAATTGAAATCAAAACGCAATAGTTGCATATTTTTTTATGTTCAGATAATATATATATATATATATATATATATATATATATATATATATATATATACTTGTTTTAAAAGAATATTTATCCTGTCGATCCGAATTCTAGGTCTAGGAAATTACACGCCTGGAGCAATTATCCCCTAGTCAGTACCGTCTGCTCCCCACAAAAGTGTACAAAGCGGCTGTGTAAGATTCTGGCAGACTTAACCAAGTTGGGAAGATCAGCATGGGCAGTAATCATTGGAGGAGGAGAGGAATCTAGCAACCTGGTTTTTCAAATTGCGGGTTCGAATATGAGACCAGCAACCCTTATTTCGTTAAAAAAAAGCACATTATATAAACTTTAACAGAAATAGAACACAAATACGATGAAAATGGGAGCAGCTTTCTAAAAGAGAATATGAAAATACTTTTAATTTCACCAGTATAAGAAAAACATTTTTACCTGTGTTTTAATGAGTTCAGATCTATAATAATATAACCAAATAAGATTTCTTTGGGTAACAGGTGACGAATAAGGTTACATTTCTGCTTTGAAAAAAATATTCAGTATTTCTATTGAATCACCAATAGCCTTCGCCATTTAAAAAAATAAAAAAAAAAACGTATAAAAAACCTAACATTATTTTCAGATTTTAAAGTTCCCATTATCAACCTGATAGTCCATTGCACAAGTGAAGTAGAGTTAACCTTTTGTTTGACGTCGGCATATGAAGTGATATTGATATGCCGACTTGGTCAACACTATGCCCAGCCGCCTATACTTTCCCTAACGTGAATTAAGTACCCATCAGGGCTGTATGGTCTCCTTAACGTTCTACTAACTTGCACCCTGACTCAAACTCGAAGATTTCGGTTAGCAGTCTAGCGCTAGGCCAAGTCGTCATAAAGGGCTCATGAATTCTAACCCAGAATCCACAAGTTCGGGTAGTTGGCAGATAGTATTTGTAGAATAAAGGCTATTGAAACGTATTCAGAAAAAAATAGGCTAAATTTAAAGTCAGAACACCATGTGGCACATATCTGATTGACACGTTTTGCCTTAAACTTTAAGAGAAAATAGCCTAACCCCCCCCCCCCCCCTCCACACACATTATAAAATTATAAAGGAAGCAGAATAAAAGTAAAATAACTACTGCATTCGCCGTAACGTTTAACACTGCCAACAATTCTATTAAGGGCGGCTTATATATTATAAAACGTGTTATATCCATAGCATGTGTTTCTTGAAGCAAGAAATAACAGCATTATATTAAATATAGTTAATATCATTTATTATATTTTTCTGTAAAATTAAAGATTAATGTATTACTTTGTTCCTACACATTTTATTGAATAATATTGTACTTTACATTGTATTTTTTAAAAATGCATAGGCATACCTATTGGCAAGTAACAACTTATGAAATTAAAATATAAGTTTCTTGATCCTATCAATTCTTTTATCCTTTGACGTTGATTTTTAAAATACTGTTAAGGTTAATTTAAATTGAAAATAACGATAATTTAAAAAAAAAATCATGTTGTCTTTAACCACTGTTACTAGCATGAGCGTCGCATATGTTCGACCCGATGTAGTTGAGCATTGAAAAACTTCCTAGTTAAAAAGTTGTGTGGATCAAAACAAGGAAATGAGATCACAAACTTCCTAACACACGGGCCTAACGAATGTACGTTGATTCTATACAGTATCCTGGACAAAACAATTAATTTCCCTATTCACCCTTCCCTTTCTGTTTTTAAAAGACAAACAGTATAGATATGTTAACAAACACCGCACGTACATTTGCGAAACATGTGGGTCATAAAAAAGCAATACAAAGATAACGCTCAGTTAAACGGAAACACATTGTAAGAAACAAAATTTCAAGATAAAAAACAACAGATATACATCAATAGAAGTTGAAATAACGTAACAAATTATTTTTTTTTTCAATCTAGCTAAATCAAATCAAAGTAAATTTAGAATACACTTTATAAAACTCAAACTAAAGTTAAAGGTAATAAAACGAAATAAAACCATTAAGTTTAATAAAATATCTACCGAAAATACAAGAGGAATGGATTAAAAACTCCTTCAAAATAAAAATAACAACATCATGTGTTAATATGCATTCTCTCTTTATTTGTTATTATTTGTAATTCGTTTTTTTTTTTTAAAAACAATAAATTTAAAAAATGCTAAATTTCCGATAGCTAAAAAAAACTTTTCTGTAACCTACTAAAATGTCTTGTTATAACAGTCTACACTGAGTCTTTCAACTTAAAACTTGTGAGCTTTTAAAAAAAAAAATTAAAAAAATATTTAATATATTTTTATTCGTTTGCCATGTGCATCACACAATGATGATGTTTAAACTAAATCAACTAAATGCAAAGTTTGAAAAAAAAAACAGAAAAGTTAACGTGGACTATCATAACCTTTTATGATAAACATTGCATTTGTTAACTGTAAAAATAATTAACGGAAAATTTCTTTTTGTATACATTACTGGTGACAAAAATAAAAAAATAGCGTTGTAAAATGTATGATCCAAAATTTAAATAAAAAACATTTTTTTTCTTTCGATGATGCTGCTTTTACTCTTCTCTGACAATTTGTGTTTAGATGTTACTGAATACGTCTTTGCCATTTTTTTCCTGTTTGCCAACACCTTAGAGACTGTGGTTGCTGTGTTTTTTGTTCCATCGTTACTTCTTTCTAGATGATTCCTACAATATAAAAAAAAACATGTTTTTTTTTGGGGTTTTTTTTTGTTTGTTTTGGGAAATTGTAAGAAGACATAATAAATCAACATTAGTTTTGTAAAATATGTTTTTAGCACGATTAGTGCTACAGTGTTGCAAGACTGACAATATATATATATATATATATATATATATATATATATATATATATATATATATATATATATATATATATATATATATATATGTATTGCTCTATACAAACTTCCAAAATACCTCTTACCAAATTATTTCTTTCAGAAAATGCGCGAATATCAAGAAATGTACAAACGCGATGTTGTAAAACTTTAATTAAATATTCAAAAGTGGCTTATAGTATAAGCCTTATACTATTATTCCGCTTACCTGTCTGAAACTACTTTAAAACTATCGACAACGAGTTCTCACACATATTACCTGTACCTGCTCCCTTTGAATCAACACCTCCAATACATGTATAAAGGTTCACTTACCCACACATTTCAACCATGTCAGGACGGTGGCCAGCAGACTAACAAGGACAGATACCACAACGTAAATGATCCACCATCGAAACTCTTCAGGAACATCCGCTAAATAAGCTGTGGGTGGTTTCTCTGTTATAGATCAACAAAACGTAATTAGCTGTTTTGATATAATCTTTACCTACTTTATATATATATATATATATATATATATATATATATATATATATATATATATATATATATATATATATATATATATATATATATATATATACATACCTGTTCGATAACGAATTCTCTCCCATTACATCTGGCAGTTGGAATATATTTAATGCACATTTACTCAAAGTAAAATATATTTACAACAATTAAGGTGTCAAAACACGATGTTTTATCAGGATTATACATCTCGCAGATTAAAGATTCGGGGCAGAAAAGAAAGACGGCACGGTGAAAGGAGATTTTTTTTAAATAAGGACATTCATCATCTTTTTCTGTTCCTGACCTAGAAACATGGAACAGATGAAGTAGAGTTCATAAATTTAATTGTCCTCGTCATACGAGCTAATAGTTTGGTAAGCACTATGTCTATCCGCCATTACTTTTTATAACGTGAGTCAGGTACCCATCAGAGCTGGATTGCCTTAGTTATACTGACGTTAATACCCCGGTTTCGATGTCTTGACTATCGGGTAGCAGCTTCGCTCTCTACCGTTAGGCCACCCCATCCCCAATTAGTAAATTACCAATTTTGAACTCCTTGATTGGGGTTGTCTGCTTGGTTGGGTTCGAGGGCTCGCCAGACAGAAGCCCGGCGAACATCTCGGCATACACACTGTAGTCGCCGAAAGCAGTGATGTTCAAAGTCAGGGAACAGTTGAACGTATAGAGCAATGGGTTTTGTGAGGCGATCCTGTTGGACATTATAGCGTATTCGATGTAGGTGAACGTGGACTGCAAATAGACATAGCGGAAATAAAACTGTATTTGGAAAAATACTATTGAAGATATATATATATATATATATATATATATATATATATATATATATATATATAGATAGATAGATAGATATATATAGATATATATATGTATATAGATATATATATATATACATATAGATATATATATATAGATATATATATGTATATAGATATATATATATATGTATATATTCATATATATATGTATATAGATATATATATATGTATATTTATATATATATATATATATATATATATATATATATATATATATATATATATATATATATATATATATATATATATATATATATATATATATATGTGTATATATATATATATATATATATATATATACATATATATATATATATATATATATATATATATATATATATATATATATATATATATATATATATATATATATATATATGCATATAGGTGTGTGTGTGTGTGTGTTTAGTGTGTGCGAGTGTGCATGTAGTAACGAAGGTCTTAACAATGTGTCTCTATGTAAAGTAATTTTAAGTCTAATATTAGAAAATAAATTTCAATAATCCGCCCCGTGTAATGTTTCTGTTTATTTTGCAAATTAGTACCAATGGTCACCACCATCTCGTATTAATATTTGAAAAAACAAATAACATGTTGTTTTCTCTTTACTAGTCTTGATGATGTTTAGGTGGTATTTTGCGATGTTCTGAGCTATGTTTCAGTTACTGGACATGTCCCCCCCCCCCTTTATCCCTCTAGGTTAGTTTTTTGCTGTGTCAGTTACCAAAAATTCCTGCATGTTTAAATTATTAAAAAATAGCTCCATTTTTTGAGGGAGGCTATTGGAAACGTAACGATATAGTATATAGTTTTCTAAAGTCTCTGTTTGTAAAGTGCCCCCTTCGAACCTAACGGTCCTTGAGGCAAGTGAATCAGAGTTCACCTGTCTATGTAACCTCGGCATATTATGAGAGAATAGTATGTTCAGTCTTGCCACTCTCCATAACGTTAGTTCGGTACACTTCAAAGTCAGGTGGAATCAGGAGCGATCTATTGACTTAAACCGGGATTCGACCTCCTGACGTTTAAATAGCCTAGCGCTGTACCTCTAGACCACTTCGTCCTACAATTTTTATAAGAGTTATTGTAATGTATAAATGTCTTACCTCATCGGGACGCTTTAGGAACAAGTTACAAGATCCCATGGGGTAAACAGTCTTGGCAAAACAAACTAGTTTAACAGTGCCTGCTCCTAAATAGTCCATATCGACAGTATCTATGCACGTAGGGGTATCTGGCTTGACTGGGCGTGTTAAGATTGATTTAAAAAATATTATTGCAGAAGTTAACTTAGCATTGCTACACTTTTAACTATAATACTTTTTTGTCGAAGTGCGTCCATCAATCTGTAGCTAAGATAATTAAGTGCTTCGAAAAGAAGGAAATCTTTGCAATGGTACCATTGAATTACAGGAACAAAATTAAGATAACATATTATAATTGTAAAAAAAAAAATTTGAAAAAATGTGTAAATTTATTTTGTTTACATTCATTTATAACTGACCGAGAAAGTTGAAAATCTATAACAAATATTACAGGTAGTAATTTAGAAAGAAAATAACGGTTGTTTAACCTGAGTTTGATGTTGAATTCAATAACGATATGCTTTTCTTAGCGTTGGCTACTGCAAAGGCCGATTGGGTCTAGTCTTTGAATAGATTTATGGTAATGTGCTAACTATTGTGTTTGATATTATCAACATATATGCCTTATAGACATTTACATTGCACGTTATCTGAATTGTCCGTTGTATCAATAATTAATTAAGATAAGTAATAAAGAGATTTATAAACCTTAAATTGTCAGATTTCAAAAACCAGCATTTTGTTAGCATTGCCTCAAAACAATGTTATGGTTTTTTTTAAATACTATCAACAAATTTTGCCTAATAAACACTTACATTACACTTTGCAATATATATGAATTATGCATTGAATTCATTTATTTTTAGCTAATTAATACAGGTAATTAAAAGAGTTACGCACCGTAAATGTGCAGAATGCAAGACCCTACAATTATTGTCAAATTCTCATCATCATAACCACATCTCCACTCCGCCTCGTCGGTTGGATTATTCCTTTTGATTTTGAGAACCGTTAATGTAATTTTACCAGACGCTCTGGTAACCTCGACCCCTGGCATGGTTGTGTGGCAGGTGCTATTCTCACAGTGGCTGATGACGTTATCGTCCTTTTGCCAGGCAAGCGATTTTTGAGGAAACCTGTCATCATAGGTTAGCTGTAAGGGTTGTCCTTCTTCAAGCATGGGGCACCGTTCTTGAGCTTTAAAACATATTGAATATTTGTGAATGTAATTTAGAGAAAAAACATCAATGAGCTTTAAAACGTACGGAAGATTTGTGAATGTAATGGAGAAAAAAACATCTCTTGAGCTTTAAAACGTACGGAAGATTTGTGAATGTAATGGAGAAAAAAAACATTTTCAGCTTTAAAACATACGGAAGATTTGTGAATGTTTTGAGAAAAAAACATCTTTTGAGCTTTAAAACGTACGGAAGATTTGTGAATGTAATGGAGAAAAAAACATCTCTTGAGCTTTAAAACGTACGGAAGATTTGTGAATGTAATGGAGAAAAAAAACATTTTCAGCTTTAAAACATACGGAAGATTTGTAAATGTTTTGAGAAAAAAACATCTCTTGAGCTTTAAAACGTACGGAAGATTTGTGAATGTATTGGAGAAAAAAACATCTCAGGTGCTTTAAAACGTACGGAAGATTTGTGAATGTATTGGAGAAAATAAACATCCCTTGAGCTTTAAAACGTACGGAAGATTTGTGAATGTATTGGAGAAAAAAACATCTCTTGAGCTTTAAAACGTACGGAAGATTTGTGAATGTATTGGAGAAAAAAACATCTCTTGAGCTTTAAAACGTACGGAAGATTTGTGAATGTATTGGAGAAAAAAACATCTCTTGAGCTTTAAAACGTACGGAAGATTTGTGAATGTATTGGAGAAAAAAACATCTCTTAAACTTTAAAACGTAAGGAAGATTTGTGAATGTATTGGAGAAAAAAACATCTCTTAAACTTTAAAACGTACGGAAGATTTGTGAATGTATTGGAGAAAAAAAACATCCCTTGAGCTTTAAAACGTACGGAAGATTTGTGAATGTATTGGAGAAAAAAACATCTCTTGAGCTTTAAAACGTACGGAAGATTTGTGAATGTATTGGAGAAAAAAACATCTCTTAAACTTTAAAACGTAAGGAAGATTTGTGAATGTAATGGAGAAAAAAACATCTCTTGAGCTTTAAAACGTACGGAAGATTTGTGAATGTATTGGAGAAAAAACATCTCTTGAGCTTTAAAACGTACGGAAGATTTGTGAATGTATTGGAGAAAAAAACATCTCAGGTGCTTTAAAACGTACGGAAGATTTGTGAATGTATTGGAGAAAAAAACATCTCTTGAGCTTTAAAACGTACGGAAGATTTGTGAATGTAATGGAGAAAAAAACATCTCTTGAGCTTTAAAACGTACGGAAGATTTGTGAATGTATTGGAGAAAAAAACATCTCTTAAACTTTAAAACGTAAGGAAGATTTGTGAATGTAATGGAGAAAAAAACATCTCTTGAGCTTTAAAACGTACGGAAGATTTGTGAATGTATTGGAGAAAAAAACATCTCTTGAGCTTTAAAACGTACGGAAGATTTGTGAATGTATTGGAGAAAAAAACATCTCTTAAACTTTAAAACGTAAGGAAGATTTGTGAATGTAATGGAGAAAAAAACATCTCTTGAGCTTTAAAACGTACGGAAGATTTGTGAATGTATTGGAGAAAAAAACATCTCTTGAGCTTTAAAACGTACGGAAGATTTGTGAATGTATTGGAGAAAAAAACATCTCAGGTGCTTTAAAACGTACGGAAGATTTGTGAATGTATTGGAGAAAAAAACATCTCTTGAGCTTTAAAACGTACGGAAGATTTGTGAATGTATTGGAGAAAAAAAACATCCCTTGAGCTTTAAAACGTACGGAAGATTTGTGAATGTATTGGAGAAAAAAACATCTCTTGAGCTTTAAAACGTACGGAAGATTTGTGAATGTATTGGAGAAAAAAACATCTCTTGAGCTTTAAAACGTACGGAAGATTTGTGAATGTATTGGAGAAAAAAACATCTCTTGAGCTTTAAAACGTACAGAAGATTTGTGAATGTATTGGAGAAAAAAACATCTCTTGAGCTTTAAAACGTACGGAAGATTTGTGAATGTATTGGAGAAAAAAAACATAACTTGAGCTTTAAAACGTACAGAAAAGTTTTTGAATGTAATATATATATATATATATATATATATATATATATATATATATATATATATATATATATATATATATATATATATATAAATGAATGTAATGGGGAAAAGTACATCTCTTGAGCTATAAAACGTGTGGAAGATTCGTGAATATAATGAAGACAGCGAATAGAATGAACAAAGTCCTGATGTTTGAAGTTGAGTGACAACGTATTATATGCTGGTCTATGTATACAATAAGCCTGCTGAGTATTTCATTTTTTCTAGGCGAATCTGTTTTCTCGCCAGGCGAAATCCAGATATAATTACAGTGTATTCGGGTTTTACCAAGAAAATGATTCTTATCGGCACTCTTAGTAGTTTTACAATGATCTGATAAATTTATATATCATGTTCGTGCCTAAGACACAGGGGGTAGATGAAGTAGAGTTTATCAGTTTCATAGACCGCGGTAAATAAAGGCATAGTGTGGTCAGCATTATGTCCAGCCGCCTTCTTTTCTTCAACGTGAGTTAAGTACCCATCGGAGCTAGGTGGACTCAGGAACGTTCTACTGCCACATTCTCGATTTGAACTCGACACTTTTCGTTTAGTATTTTAGCGCTCTACGGCTGAGCGCTACCGTCCCATGTGTGGTCTGGTATGAATAGGTTATCTGTAGAGCTGTGTAATGAATAGGTTATCTGTATCTGTAGAGCTGTGTAATGAATAGGTTATCTGTAGAGCTGTGTAATGAATAGGTTATCTGTAGAACGTGTAATGAATAGGTTATCTGTAGAGCTGTGTAATGAATAGGTTATCTGTAGAGCTGTGTAATGAATAGGTTATCTGTAGTGCTGTGTCATGAATAGGTTATCTGTAGAGCTGTGTAATGAATAGGTTATCTGTAGAGCTGTGTAATGAATAGGTTATCTGTAGAGCTGTGTAATGAATAGGTTATCTGTAGAACGTGTAATGAATAGGTTATCTGTAGAGCTGTGTAATGAATAGGTTATCTGTAGAGCTGTGTAATGAATAGGTTATCTGTAGAGCTGTGTCATGAATAGGTTATCTGTAGAGCTGTGTCATGAATAGGTTATCTGTAGAGCTGTGTAATGAATAGGTTATCTGTAGAGCTGTGTAATGAATAGGTTATCTGTAGAACGTGTAATGAATAGGTTATCTGTAGAGCTGTGTAATGAATAGGTTATCTGTAGAGCTGTGTAATGAATAGGTTATCTGTAGAGCTGTGTCATGAATAGGTTATCTGTAGAGCTGTGTCATGAATAGGTTATCTGTAGAGCTGTGTAATGAATAGGTTATCTGTAGAGCTGTGTAATGAATATGTTATCTGTAGAGCTGTGTAATGAATAGGTTATCTGCAGAGCTGTGTAATGAATAGGTTATCTGTAAAGCTGTGTAAACCGGTAGATAGCGAGCTTGATAACTTGAAAGTCACGATTAATGTACCCAGTCTCCAGATATTGGGCCGCCTGTTTAACAAATCACCCAGAACGTATATGACGTGTGGTGCGATACAGTGGGTTAGTCAGCAGAAGCCTGGTGGAATCGATTTTATGTTTCTAGCGTTCGCTAACACGGGTAATAGAAAAGCTCGATTATAAACTTTGTTTTTATCACAGCAAATATACATGTTATAAATCTTTAATCGTAATGTACTGAGCCGGATACATGTTTTATTAATAGCGATACTGAAAAGCGAGAAACAGTAGGATTTTGGTAAGGGGTATCTTTGGATTATTGTTTGGGTTAACGTTTTTATGTATCTTACTTATACAAGCATTATAAACGAAAGAACGGCATATGCAGCATGCATACATTCTTAAGAATAGTACCCACTCGAATCTTTATTTGTTCTCATTATGACAATCACATTTCTGATCTTACTCGGAATGGTTTGTTGAATTTCGTATACATTATCTACTGTAAACCATAGTTTTTGTCAAGAACGATTGTTAGAGAGAATTAATATTTACCGATGAGTAGTAAAAACATTATAAAAGTAGCAATTTAAAAAAAGGGATTAGCAAAACCTACAAACGCAACCAATATATAAACATTGATTACGCTATTTATACGTCAGGGAGTGACAAAGAAAATATAGTACATGCAGAAGCAGAGGCGTAGAGATGAGGGGGGGGGGGGCTGGGGGACGGACATATGTCCCCGGGCGCCGACCTTAGTGGGCGCCAAAATGGGTTGTAAAAACAAATTAAAATGTCATTTTTGCTGCATTTTTGCAGTTTGAGGAGGGGGATGCAAATCGAAAGTTGAAAGAGGGAGGGGGGGGGGGGGGGGGGCTGCCAATCGAAAATTTGAAATGGGGGGGGGGGTGCGAACTGAAAATTTGCTCCCGAGGGGGGGGGGGGAGCCAAATTGAAAGTTTGTCCCCTGGCGCCGGGAAGGGTCGCTACGCCTCTGTGCAGTAGACCTATATTCATTGATGGTGTTACAGTTGCACTGATGTTTTTTTTTTTTTACATTTGTAACGCTGAAACTTTCCGGAATAATAATTATTGCTAATCGTAATGCTATCCGTATTCTTTTTTTTTCTTAAATCAAAGAAATGTTTTAGCAGGGTAATCTCAAAGTCATAGGACCGAGTGGTCTAGTGGTCGAGAGCTGGACTGCAAACCCGTAAGTCTTGAGTTCGAATCCGGGTTCAAATCAGTAGACCGTCCCTAAGTCCACCCAACTCTGATGGGTACCTAATTCTCGTTAGGGAATGTAAAGGCGGCTGGGCATAGTGCTGACCACAATATCTCTTCATATGTCGAGGTCACAGAAACAAGTGAAATCTATTTCGCTTGTGCTATAGACCGTCAGGTTTGAAAGGGGACTTTACTTTTAACTTTTAATCTCAAAGTCATTACTCCGGAAAGGTGAAGGGGTCATCTATAAAAGACTTCGCGCTTTTTTGACGATTTTGGCCTCCCCCCCCCCCCCCCCCCTTCCTCCGTCACACATCGTCACAAAAAGCCAGACCCCCCCCTAAATGACGTCACACCTCAGCCTACAACCCCCATCAAAATTGCAGTTGTATTTTTTTTTAAACATCGATATTTTTCCAAAATCTTGTCTGAACTCTGTCGAAATAGAGTATGTTAATCAATTCCTTTTACGATGTATTAAAACAGTTATCAAAAACGCAAAATAACGTCTAAAATTTCTTTTCTAGCATTGCTTTTTTTTAAAGGCAAAAGTGTGACGTCGCACCATCTGAACCCCTCCCCCCCCCCCCCATCTCCCTCATCACACACCGTCACGAAATTATAGACCCCCACCCGACCCCGAAGCAGTAAAATAATTAATACACATTAGAAAAATACAGTAGAGTCTTTTACTCCCTTCCTGAATTCACCGCAGGTACTGCAAACCTTATTTTATTTGGGACCATCTATTGTTAACACTGAACGCTTACACATTTAAATAGATTGATGTTAGTTGCATGTAAATAATATGTTGCTATTCATTTTACCTTGTAATATTGTTTAGTGAATTTGATCATTATTGCTGCTATCAAACAATCGTTTTATTTATTTTTTTACATTATAAGTTATCATGTTTACAAACTGTTGAAATTCTTCAGAAAGTTTTTTTTTGTTAAAAAAAGAACACAATTACTTCAGCTGACTTCAATGGTTATAAATAGATATAGATCTATAAATATCTATTAAATGTTGCTAATTTGGTTAATTTATTTTTAAATGAATTTAAAACATTAATTTAGAACACTATTTTTATTTCAACGGTGAAGTAAACTACGGTTTACAATACTTTATTTTATAATGCATCTAATAAACATTAGCTGATATTACTGTTAATTTAAAGTAATATATACAAGTCTTACCTGAGTAGGATATTAGAAGTAGCATGATGAAAAAATACATGATGAAAACTAAAATATCAAACTCAATAGGATGAACATGAAATCGACGAAGCTGCTTGCTGTGTTGATACAGCGTACGTAAGTTCCTTTCATCGACGGTGCTAAATAGTGCAACACCATGTTTGCATCGTGCGCAACTTGAAAAAAATAAAAATGTGTTTGGAATTTGAAATTTAGAAGAGTGGGCAGAGTTTCTTCCAGACATCTATTCGACCCAGTCTCTCCCTAAAACGTTAGGGCCACCCCCCCCAGCACACTCTCCCCCCACCCCCGAATAAAAAGTATGGAAGAAACACTTAGTGTGGGAGAATGTATGGGAACTAAATTGAAACAAATAAAAAAAATCTGTTGATTTTAGGATTGTAAATGCTTTTAAATATATATATATATATATATATATATATATATATATATATATATATATATATATATATATATACACACACTTGCATTCTTTAAGACATTTTTGTGCGCTAAAATATTTAAAACAGCTCGTAAGCGATCATAGCTTTTCTTTTTACATTTTTACGTTATTATTTTTTGTGCATTTTACTGATACGGAAAAACATATTTTTGCAATCTTGTCCGTATGTCAGTGTGTGTGTGTGTGTGTGTGTGTGTCTGTCTGTCTGTGTGTAAACACGATAACTTGAGTACCGTTACAGCTAGGTTGATGAAATCTCATATATAAGTATTTTATCAAAATCGTAGATCCGTATCAACTTTTGAGCGATTTTCGATAACCGGAACTGGCACTTTTTTTACTTTGTATTTTTCAAAAGCCTATAACTTGAGTACTTTTTAGGATAGATAAAATTTCACATGTAAGTAAAAGATCTAAATCTCTACCTTATATCAAATATTGAGTAATTTCCGTTGACCGGAAGTACTAACTTACGCTATTTCCGATTTCTCAGAAAACGCTTGTAAATTCATAACGTACTAATAATATTTCGCACTGTTATGCACATTTTGTTTTGGCGTTTGCTTGGTGCGCAATTCGTTTTTCTATGAGATTCTATTATATTTTTAAAAGTTTAAGTAATTAAAAATCATGTCTATATTCAATTCCAAGTTATATAAGAATTTTTGAGAATGTTTATGGGAGATCGCTCCCGGTTTATTAAAATGTTGTAATGCTTAGGTTAATTGTAACGCTTTATTCTCGTCATTCGATTAAAAATAGGTATATATATATACAGTGGCGTAGCGAGGTCGGGTGTCACCCGGTGCGGCACTCAATGGTGTCACCCCCCCCCCCCCCCCCCCCAGAGGAGTAGCGACCCTTCCCGGGGACAAGCTTTCAAGTTTTCGATTTGCACCCCCCTCAAACTTTCGATTTGCACCCCCCCCCTCAAGTTTTCGATTTGCACCCCCTCCCCCCTCAAACTTTCGATTTGCACCCCCCTCAAGTTTTTCTATATATATTTTGCTATTTTTTGCCTTGGTGTCACCCCCCCTAAATGGTGTCACCCGGTGCGGTCCGCACCCCCGCCCCCCCCCCTCGCTACGCCCCTGGCTCTATACACTGCCCTTTGGGAGAATTGATATCTAAATTTTGAAATTATTCAACGAGTTCAAAGGTGGCTATAATAATATTAAGAACAAAATTATGTCTTTTCATTTTATATTTCTGTCATAGTTAGGTAAGCAACAGGTGTACATAAATATCGCCTTATTCTCTCCTGGCCAGTAGATTAAAAATTAATATTTTTTTCAAATTTTCTATGGACATTTACTTGATGACAAATTGAAGCTTGCAATTTGTGTTAGAATTTGTTTCCAATTTTTATTTTATTTCTCCAAAAACAGACGCCACTAATCCCCCCCCCCCAAGCCGCTCCACTATATACTACTCAGGTCCACACCATAAGTGGTTTGGAAAATATTTACAGTAAATAATTTGGTTAGGCTGGGGAAAATATTTAGGGGAGATAATAGCAAATTAAAGAGTCAAAATGAATGAAAATAAAGATCTTAATAATACACATCTAAACCTAAAATCAAAAATTTATTTATTACCCTTTGACAAAGCATTTTAATAGATTTAGCTGAAGATTTACTCTAAAGGCTAATATTTGATACTGCATTTTAAGTAGTTAATTTAATTTAAAGATAAACACACTAGGTTTTTGTTAAATTAAGTTTGGCCACTACTGAGCAATTACATTTATTCTGAGCTGTCGTATTTACTCTAAAAAGAAAATTTTGGATCCCTTTTAAAAAGGGACAATAAAATAAAAACGTCAATATAGGGTATGTAAGATTACCAATGTTCTACAAACAACGGGGACAACCTACAGATATATATTACCTTTGATGTTGTTCCACAGTAGCAGTTAGATTATTTACGTCTTTCTAAGACCGTGCCCGATCTATCCCCATTTGCTGACTTTACAATCTCTGTCAATCGGCTGTTGCTTTGTGGCTTGTCACTGGACATTGTTGGACATTTTGTTTGGCCATCCTAACTTAAGTATTTGTCGAAGTCATCTATTTGTGATCGACCGTTGACTTTTTATTTGACTAGATAACCCTCTAATCTCCGAGTCAAATGCAGTAATGTCTTATGACTGGGAGATAGTGAGCGTTACCAAGTCAAATAGGTAGTCTCATGGTAGTTAAACAATAATAAACAACTCATATGAACCAACTACATTACACTTAAAGGAAATAAGTAACACTAGAACACTAATACACAAACAATAGATTACAAAGACATTAACTTAATAACCCAAGATACTACACACAACTAGCATGGACTAGTTTTGATTTCGTTAGCTTTTCCCGTTTTTGCCCACGTCTGAAAGGGCAGATGAAGTAGAGTTTATCTGTTTCAATGACCTCAATATACTACGGACAACACTATGCACCTCTGTCTTCATTTCCGTAACGTAATGCAGGCATACATTACAGCTGGGTGAACTCATAGATTTTCTGGTTAGCGCTATATATTTATATATAAATATAACTACGTGTGCAAGTTACCAATGAATGGCAATAATGTTTATTAACTAACTAAAACTAAAGAAAACGTGCAAAGACAATTAATATAGACAAAATATAAAAGGAAAGGTATAAGTAAAATAATATCAACGACTTAATTTTCGCTACCAATATTGAATTCAAGTACTGAACAATCCGGATTTTTTAAATAGTTAATTATATATTAATTTAAAATATTCTAAATTGAAAATCATAACATATAGTGGAAAAACAAACTTATGTGTCTTATTTTACAAGGTTAATTCTTTATCTACTAATCTAGGGAGGGACAGTTCTCAAAATTTAAACAATCATCAAATAGATCAAGAGTGGCTATAATAATAGTTACTGATAGACATTATAGCTGAAATTTATACATCTAATGATGTACTTTGGCAAGAAAATATTACTTTAGAAGTGAAAAGTACAAACCACCTCATGAATACCAATAAAGCGGGAGTGATTTCCCCTAAAAGTTATCGAATATTCTTAGATGGGGATGGCAACAACAGTGCAATAAATAGATAAGCTTACGAAAACAGAAAATGCAAGGGACTAGCTTGCAGGCTAAATGGATTGGTAAATGTATGCAATGTATAGTTTGATTGCACATATCTTACGCTGGCGGAAAATAAGTTATCTGTCATTCTGTTATCTCCCTGTCTTTTGACTAGGCGTGAAAAAAAAACTACAGGGAGGTAATGTAAATTTAATAGTAAAAACAACGAGAATAAGAATCGATTTTATACTCTTCAACTTTAAATATATAGTTTCGTTCCTATTATACGAAATGCAGTTTTAATTTCATTTTTTATATATATTTTTAATTTTTTTTTCTAAAATTAGATATAAAGTGTTTAAATCGTTGTTGTATTTTAAATCCTAACGGACTAGTTTTATGCTATTTTTAGTTTTGCCTTTATTGAGAAATACCTTTTATTATTACGACTTTACACAAATTAACAATAATAAAGAACTGTAAGATTTGATAATAAAATAAACAATTGGTGTTCATGTCTGTTATCTGTGACTTAATATAACATATATGATACGAGCTAACTTATGTAAGTGGCTTTGTAAATGTATGTAGTGTACACACTATGTTGATTTCATGTCGTGTTCAGCAAGGCAATACTTTACCTTACATAACGTAATTTAAGGGAAAAACAATAAATAAAGAAAACTACGGATGCAAGTTATTAATCAATGACAAAAAGTTTATTAACTAACTAAAACTAAAGAAAACGTGTAGTGACAAATTATTTCAGACAAAATATAACAGGAAAGGTGTAAGTACATTAATATCAACGAAACTATTTTCATGTTTCTTTTTTTAATAGCTTTAATTAATTTTTTAGAAATCTCCCTATTCTACAATGAACAAGTTTAGCAGCACTTTAACATTGTGTGACTGCGGAAAACAAGACTGCGTTTTACACAAATGCACGTGGTGTAAATTTACATCTGTATTAGTCGTTGAAAATTTCGAAAAATAAAAGGCTTAGAAAAAAATACACAGGCAGAGGCTTAAATTAATGGTTCATATAATAGCAGACCTTGATTTCGCTTTTGTCTTATTGAATAGGTTACCTCCCATATGTATTTAATTCAAATATTGAATCAATTATAGTTTGTAATTGTTATAGTGCTATTTTGTTAAACTAATTTTTTGTTTAATAATATTAATTTTTAATTTATAATAGCATAAAATATTAATATAGTTATAAAAAAAACACAATAGATCTAACAAACATTTATTAAGTACAGAGAGATACTCTGGAATTCATAGATTGATAAAAAAATCATGCAGAAAAATTTTGGATCCCTTTTCAAGGGACAAACTAGATAAATGTATGACTCGTCTTAATTTTTTTCTTAATCAGCACAATCACAATTATTTTCTCTTCACTTGAGAAAACATAGAAACTATACCTCATTCTATTTCGCATATTTACACAGTGGCGTAGCGAGGACGGGTGTTACGCGGTGCGGCACTTAATGGTGTCATCCCCCCCCCCAGAGGCGCAGCGACCCTTCCCGGGGACAAACTTTCAAATTTTCGATTTGCACCCCCACCCCTCAAGTTTTCGATTTGC